GCACGATTAGTTCTATATTTTTTTGACATATCGATGGTGTACTGCGTATCGGGAAACCTTTTGCTCAGCTCTCGCGTATACTTTGTTGAAATGATGAGCTTCTGTCAAGGCTTTTGAAATCGTGCACGCACTACGAAACAATGCTAGTTGGGCTTGTTAGTGAGATGCAATAGCAAGCGCTTAATAGTGTTGAAACATTTCAAGCACCCATTGCCTAGTTAGGCATACCTTCTGAACAACGCGTTAACCGATGCTTATCGTTCGATTGATCCTTTGTGTTAACTTCTTCGGTCAATTCTCAGTGTATGAATGCCGCTGTTGCTGCTGAACAGCATTCGTATCTCGGGTCGCAAGTGGACAAGCCCGCTCGCGGAGCTCACACACGTGGTGNTCGTGGTGGAGCCGGGAGGAAAGCGCAACAGCAACAGCACGAACGAATGCATCCTCAACCGCAGCATCGTCTCCCGGCGGCCAGTGCGGCACGTTATGTGCCCCCTTCACCACACCGGTTCCCTCCCAATCGACCTGCAACAGCTATCGGTGTCACTCAGGCAAGTCGTTTGTTGTTTTCGTTTTCTCTCTGTTCCGTGTCCCCAGTATTCGCAAATGCTCTCCATCTGCGACCAAATAAAAATGCATGTTTCCTCCCAACCTTGCAATTTCCGATAGCCACTGTATTCTTTGCAATGGTGATCATCACGTGATGAGCTTCCGAATGACTTGTGTACTTTTGTTGATCCATTCTTTCTTGGTCGAAAGCATGAAGAGATCTATCTAAGTGGTAATGCATTGGATTGATTGTTCTCCAGTATGTGCACAGTCGCACACTGTCTCCCTCATTGAGTTTCTCAATACACGTTCAACCGAATTAGTGTCGTCTGATGATTAGTGTGACTGTTGTCTGAGCTGAAGATTCGATTGCCCGGTAGGTTTATATATATTTTGTGTTTTTTCCACACCATTATGCCATTTAATGCAGTACTCCATTATTCTCACTCATCCAGGTTTGAAAACGCTGAGTTTCACAAGAATCGTCAACTCAATAATTTATGCTGTTCTAGCTAAAGCGACACAGTTGGGCTGTTCGCTTGTTGGCTCTAATCACTCCCAATCTACTGTTAATTTTCTGTCTCGGCCCAACCCGTTCGAACAGATCCCTAAGAAAAAATAGTTAGCCTGAATCTGCTACTATGTCATCGACCATTCTTTTCTTCTGGCGGTGCTATACAAACATACACACACCATTACCCCTCGTTTTGTTGATCACAATTACCCGGATGTGCATGCTTATTTGTAAATTACCCGAACCGTGCCATTTGATTAGAGCTCAATGCAACTGGTACAACGAGTAGCACTGCGGTTTCGGATCTCTAAAAAGAAGGACCATTAGGTTAATTAGTTCCCGATTTTGGTTCCATCTAAGTTGCTGACATGCAGTAACAAAATGAGTTTTTTTTATCCATTATCAGTTCTACTAGAACAGATAGTGATTAACCCCAAACCTCACTCTAATTTACCGAAGCCTGGATCTTGTTTAACACATCTTAAAGGTCTACTTTCCAGCATGATCGGATTTTATCCTCGATAAAACTACCTTTTGTAGGCGATTGAATCGCGAAGGCGAGTGAGCAACACGTGAGCATCACGTCAGCACACCGTCCTTTCCGTTATTATGTCTACGATCCACACGTTTCCTCTGGTTCCCGTTTTTTTGAACTATGCTTCATGTTAGAACCATTTAGTTATTAGGTGCACATGTTTAGTACTCTATTCGTCTTTTCCTCGCAGTTAGCAGCTCTCAGTTGTTCGGACGTACGAAACTGGCATTCGCTCAGAAATCGTTCTGTTTCCCTTTCCCCTCCATCATTTTTTGACAGCGTTTTCCGGTGAATTTGCCAGGTGTCATGGACGTCCAGGCCGGAATGGGAAATGGTAAATATTCGTTCTCATTGGGTTCAGTCCTTATGCTAGAACAAATGCGTGCTTCTGATTGTCGAATTCAAATTTTTATTTGGATCAAATTACAAAGCTGATGCTCATTGAATCCCATAGGATCTGTACACACTGGGTTCGGTTGGTAGTCTAATTAAATAGCAACTTATGACGTTCACTCACGGGTGCTGAGAAATTAGGTGTTTCAATGCTTCATCCAGCTGTGACTTGAATGAATCGATGGCGCTGGCGCAGTAGTTTAGTCGCTGTCACCGGCGTGCTTTGAACCCTGTGGTCCGAGGTTCGAGCCCCGCCACCGCCACCCAACTTGACAGCTTTGCTGTCACCCGGTTCAAAACCACGCCTGACCTATCGGGGCCCTATGTGGTTCGCCACTCCAAGTCCCGGGGCTTGGATTACCGGCTTCCATTTCGGAGCAGCAGGTCTTCGTGACTATGCGATCCGCCTCGTCTGCGGTTCATCACACCCTGGTGTATTGAAAAACAACAACTTGAGGCGCAAGAAAGTCCCAAGTATTACAAACCCTGAGGCTTAAAGAGTGACGCCTGCAGTCTAGCCGATTCTTTTGGAGCCGAAGTTTAAACGCACGTCCCCTGAAGTGATCATTCCTGGACAGTTTTGGTGAAGTACTCCGCTGTTGGTTCGGTTGATGTAATATTTGTTATACGAAGATCACGTTTCCCTGTATCCGACGGTATTCAGATGAATAGAGTCCGGGAACATGCAGCCTTCCACCGTAGGTTTCAAATTGTAACCCGTTGACGGTTTTGGCTCCTCTTCTCTGCGGGCGTTCAAGTGCCTTTTGGTAGCGAAACAGCCATGGATTCCAAGCTTGCATAGCATACTTTGTGTGTGGTGTAATGTGTACCGATAGCAAACGAGGCAATAGGTTTGCTTCGAATGATCCAAGAATACGTTTGAGCAATCCAACTTGCTTTATGGCTTTTGATGACGCTGTAACGCAATGTGTAGAACATCCTAGATCTTCACGAACAAGAACTCCTAGATCCTTGGCGTTTGGAGCACCCGGTAGTGGCTGATTACCTAGTAATTATGGGAAGCGACCGCTGTGACGCAACGATACAACCTTGCATTTATCAGCGTTGAATTCGATGTCATTATTGATGGACCATCGGTAAGCGGCGTTGATAGTCGCCTGTAGGGTTTCATAATCTCCAGGATGTTGTACCGTTCGCCATGTTTTGGCGTCTTCAGAATTCTTTCCTTAGTATTCATAAACGACCTACTCGCAGGAAAAGGTACGAACCCAGTATGGATCCTTGTGGAGCTCCATATTCAGCCTTCAATTGGTTCTGATAGAGAGCCATTAACTTTAACCGGTACAGTACGTTGTCGAAGAAATTCCTCAATACAGCCAAGGAGCAGTCCTTAGAGCTTTGGCAACAGTATACGGCGGCTAACCTCTTCAAAAACTCATCTCGTGCAGGCAGCAGATGTGTGGTGTATAAGGGTTTTCTTCGAAACTCATGTTGGGCCGTTGAGAGAATGTTATACTTCTCAAAACATTCCATTAAAGCATCAAAAACAATCGATTCCATTACTTTTGGAAGAACAAGAAGTTCGCAGGATCACTTTGGCAGACGCCTTTGTAAGTGGATGAAACGATATTGTGTTTCCTAGACTGAGGAATCTCCGTCTAACCGGACATGCATTGGTATAAATGAGAAGTTTTTTCACGCGTGTGGTTTACCAAGGATGTCAAAATCTGTGAACGGATGTTGTCTTCCCCTGGGGACGAATTCTTATGCAGCGCCAATAGTTTGGCTTTTGACGGTTCGGATTCGAAGGTGTCTATTCATTTGTACTGATTGGTGTATAAAGTTTAAAGTTTTCCCCAATATTTACGTCATCGTCATCATCGTCGTACCGCGAAGTAAACTTCACTGATCGCTCCCAAACTCGTAATCCTTACACGGTTTGTGAGGATGTGAGGAAATACGGATTTTAAATTGTAAATCTAGATGCCACAGTCTGAATGTCATGGAGTTACATGATCAGACGCAAATTATTTGTTTATAAACAATTGAACAATACGTTTCATAATTCAAGGCCGTCCACCGCATGCCTTTCTCAGCGCGCGCAATTTCCCAACCCATTTCCCACACTCACATGCACTGGTTACGCCTAACCCAGCGAGGCCTTATGTGGTCCGCCAGGCGGAGACTTGATGAAACCATGGCACACCTTGCTTGACCAAAACTCAAATTGTTTGAAGACGGCATTATGTGTTATCTCTTCGGTCTGCCTTGCAGTTAGCACTTGGGTGTGCAAAAGCTAGAGATGCCAACTCGACTCAAAGCAGAGTGACGCTGGGGACGTTTCCTGTACTTAACTCCTAAGAAATGTCATGGATATTCACTCAATCTGTCTTGCTAATCATGCTACGGCGTTCCTGGGAAGCGACGCACCATATTCTCCTCCAGTGGCCCGGGTGACAAGTATACGCACTGGACACTACGCAAACTTCACAAAGTACACGAAAATTCTTACTTTGGATGCTGGAACGTAAGAACACTCTTAGATGTCGGGAGTCAGGCACTAATGGTTCGCGCGATGCATGACTAGCAGCTGGATATTACATGCCTCTCAATAATCAGATTGGTGGGCTCCGGCTCCAAAAGTATCAAAATCCCCGGTATCCGCTGTATCACAGCGGCAACGAAACGTCGGGTCAACACGGAGTGGCACTTACCTTAAGCCATCAGGCTAATAGTGCTTTACTTTTCTGGAAACCAATATCCTCTAGGATTGCAATAGCATGATTCAAGGGTCATCCAGTAAATCTCAGAGTAATCGCTGTCTACGCCCTGACTCTCCCATCTGACAACAGCGTCGAGGATGAGTGCTATGGCAGCCTTCAATCGCTTGTTATTGAAAGACTCAAACGGGATGTACTTGTCATAACAAGGGATTGGAACACTGGCAGAGGCCACGAAGCACATCATAGGGAGGTTTAGCCTGGGCCAGCGCAGTGAGAATGGTGACAGACTACTCAGCTTCACCGATTATAATCGATTGTGTATTACCAACACGCGGTTTCAACATCCAAAAAAGCATCTTCTGACGTGGTACTCCAACGATGGCCGAAAGACACATCAAATAGATTACGTTCTCATCCGTTCACGATGGGTTTCTTCGATTGAAGACTGTCGATCCTATCGCGGGGCTGAATGCGGGAACAAAAGCGGATCTGATCACGTACTAGTTCGCGCGAAAATTAGACTCCATCTAACAACTTGCAGGAAGACCGTCCCTCAAAACGCCTAAGTGTGCTTCCACTGGAGAACAACGAGAAATGCCAGACACTGATGGCATGATAGCTGCACAGCTGTCAAATGATCCCATCGATGCACAAGGAAACACAGGGAGCTCGGTTAAAACTCAGTTTACCAAGATGAAGTCGTCGGTACAACAAACTGCCCTACACGCACTACGCACTAGATTACGTCGTCTGAAGGACTGGATATCCGGCCACCATCCAGTTAGCTAATGCGGCCAGAGAGGCCCATTTGGCTCAATCCTTTGGTTATCGCAATCTCAGACGACAAGCAACACGATCAGCCAGAAACGATAGATGCAACTGCTGGAATGAAATGGCTACGAAAATGGAGACAACAGCCAACCTGGGCGACACGACGACCCTCTTCCGACTTAATCGATCAGCATCGGGCAAGAAACAGGTCACCCACTCTGTGCTGCGCAGCGCCTCCGGTTAGCTCATTTCTGATGCGCAGGGAAAATGTCTCGATGGGTGCAACACTTTAGTGTTTCTCTCAATCGCCCTCAAATCCCATTTCCGTATGCGCCCTCCTCGCCATCTTCTCCATACGAAGCTAACTGCGCTCCACCATCAGTAGAAGAAGTCTCAGATATCATCAGCCATCTCAGGCCACGGAAATCTCCCGATGAGGACAGGATATCCGCCGAAATCTACGCAAAGTGTTCTTCAGCCATTTTAAACCGTCTTTATATCTTACTGTGTGCAATCTGGGAAACCGAAATTTGCCCAACTGCTAGACCACATCGATTTTGCTACCTTTCCCTGAAAAGGGTGACAAATCAGTGTGCGAAAACTACAGAGGCATCAGCTCACTTGATGTGGCGGCCAAGGTTTTTGGACAATTTCTGCTGAACCGCTTTGCTGCAGCAAGGCACACACACTCGTCCTAACAAGAAGTGATTCGGCCCCGGAGTGGATTGCGTCAATCAAATATTCACTCTACGTCGACTCTTGGAACATCACCACTAGTTTCAACAACCTGTCTGTTTCATTGATTTTCGTGCGGCATTCGACTCTGTAGATCGCAAATCCCTTTGGAACGTATTTCTGGCAGATGGTGTCCAGTCAAACTTGTCAATTTAATGAGATCCTACTATTCTATCACTAGCGCCCGAATCCGTGTTTACGGAGAGGAGTCTTGCCCGTTCGGGTTAAGATCTGGAGTGCGACAGAGGTGCCCATTATCCCCAATACTGTTCAACGTTGTCGTGGACTGGATAATGGGTCGTTCGATGGAAGGATACCATGGAGTTCTCCGAACTTATGGTTCACCGACTTAGAATTCGCGGATGATATTGTCTTCTTTGGCGAGGACGTGTCCAGCCTCCAAGTATTCGTTAACCGCATCAGTCGACAGGCCTTTGAGATCGGCCTAGAAATGAACACATCGAAAACCAAAACTTTTGTGACAGTCCCGATTCATCCCGAAAATGCTTTACTATTAAACGGCGGGCGCATCCAATCAGTCGAAAGCTTCAAATACTTGGGCTCAACCATTCTCCCCAACGGCCAAACTAAAGACGAGATGCAAATGCCCGTCGAAGCTGCAAGAAGGGCATTTTTACAGCTGAAGAATCCCCTTTGGCGCAGTAGTGAAATCAGCCTCAAGACAAAAATCCGAGTTTTCTCCACAGCAGTCTTGCTATACTGCTACGAAACCTGGCCACTCAGAGTCTACAACTGTCACAGATTAGAAGTCTTCGATCACAGGTGCTTAAAAATCATTCTGGGGGTACGATGGAGGAATCAACTCTCAAAGAAAGCGGTTAAAAATCAGTGTTTTAAGCTTGTGCGGTTGAGGACGCTAATGCAACGGCGGTGACTACAATGGTTTGGCCAAATTCTTCGTAAGTCCGATAATAACGTGACAAAAGCTGTCTTGGTACCGCCTCCCTGCCCGAACTGGTGCTGTCGGCACGATGGACAACTGAAAACCTGACGTGACAGGGTACGAAAGGATACTGAAAACCTTGGTCTCCGTTCCGTCTACGGCGTTCGCTAATGGAAGTCAAACTGGATCACAATCTGCACTGATCTTGCCGCAGATCGCCGAGCGTGGGCAGCGGCGATTCGAGATATCCATGAAGCCGGCTTATCCTCTCCCAGAAGTCAGCCGCCGTATAGTAAATTAAAGTAAGTAAGTTTTACCTCCTACCCGAAACCAGGACCTTATAAGTTATTTTTACAATAAAACTTTGACTTACTCCACTCCTGGGGCTTATGGTGTTGTTTTGCATCGCAAAATAGCAAGTCTTCGCGACTAATGATTGCTGGAAGTGCTCCCAGGTGTTGTGCAAGATCCGCTTTTGGCTCGGGAGACATGGCCTCCCGGTCACAGGTTATAAAACACACTGTATTCTCCTTAACACACCGAGGCTGAAGCCGGTTAGTTTCTTTTTTAAGTAGACGAGGTTGTCAGTAACAGTCTTTGTCGTTGTTGTTGGAATTCGAATGAAGTACCTTGACGTTTCCTTTATGGCACATTTTTACCATATGATTTCTTACATGAAAGTACTAGAGGATTTGGTTCAATTTCAAAGGTGAATTCATCGTGTACATAGAAAATCAACCGTGAACTGAAAAGCTAGGAAGCACTGGACAGCTGTTCCGACCTGGTTGGGTCTCATCATAAACTGGAATCCATTGACCGAACTGAAGATCGAAACCGGGACTTCACCGGTAGAACGCAAGCATACTACCCACTACGCCACTGAGCAGCTGATCAAACCGCTTTTCATTATTCATTCACAGAATGTAGCACAAACCATCTTTGCGAGCTTGTTGTGGGCATCACACCTCGCTCATCTCAGCACTAGCCTCCAGAGTTATGACTGGGTTTGGAACTTTCACAACCTGACTACTTGTTACATGTGTTGTGCTATATCGTGTAAGTGGAAAATGAAAATCGGGCTGATCAGCTACCCGGTGGCCGAATGGATAATACACTCGCGTTCCCCTGCAAGGTTCCGGGTTCGATCCGTAGTTGGGTCAATGGATTCTCAAAGCTGCTGCTGAGACCCAACCAGGTCGAAACAGCTGTACAGTGGTTCATAGCTTTTCAGTTCACGCTTCATTTACTCTATGCACGCCGAAGTTACTGTTTGAAATATGATTTCTGCCAAGGAAAGTCCACGTTTCCCTGAGAATTCCTTTGACCCAACTGGAAAACAAATCTCTGCCGATGGGAGTTGTTTCGATCTTCTCGACGTTACTCGTTCGAGAGCAAGCAAAGCGTCATAGCGGACAGTGCAGTCTTATTAATTTATCCGCCTGATTGGTGCTCCCAATTTCTCTAGTTTTGATAATCCACGTCGAAAAAACGCTTTAAGTTTTACTCGCTATCGGTGCAGATTTTCGGCTCTCTTCCGATTTTTCTTTTATCTTTCTTGTGAGTGGTTAAAAACTCATAGCACTACAACAACAAGTTGGATGTTGTTCTAAATGAGACTCGTCCCCCTGTTGCACATTTTTTCTCTTTCTCTCACATATTTTCCTTCTACAGTTGGAATGCTCACCATTCCCGGACCCGGCATGATTGCTAGCTCCGAGGGAATCCAATTGCTCAATCCAACCGCTCCCGGTGCTCCTAACACCTTGCTCATGTCTCCCGGCCCAGCGAATTCAATGGGCATCACAAGTACGACCGGATCGACCGGATCTTCAGGGCCCACAGGACCTTCCTCCGGCTCCGGACATCACGGTCCGAAAACCAAGGCCAAATCGAGTAAACACGCACAGGAACAGAATTTGAACGAGGAAGAAAAAGATGCGATTGTGATGCAGAATGTGAAAAACATACTGAGTTTACAACATACTTGGAATCGCGTAAGTTCATTCATGCTCGTTACGGTATCGTCAATGATGAGAACAGTGTTAGGATTAAGCGTTGTCCGGTGCATGTACTCTATTCGTTTCTCGCTCACTCAGAAGGAGAACATAGGAGTAATGGAAGTTTACAATGCAAACTGTGTTAGTGTGGTTTTGATATCAGATTTTTCTGCTCTTTATTGGCTTCTCGTCACTCCGTGAGCTGTGACGACCTTTTTCCAGACTTCTATTGATGGTCAATTACATCCCCCTCGATGTGGATCATTTGAATCCGGTATGAAAGAATCGGTATAATTGATCAGTAGTATGAGTTTGTTGTGCTTCGTTGGTACACCATTGTTTAGTTGTCACCGTTTCTTGTGGCACATGCCAGTGTTGTGTTGTTAACAAACAAACCATGCTGCTGTGTTTACTGTGGTCAATATCTGTAGGATTCCCATGGCCGAGGTGGTTCGTCTTCATCCGAAGGAGTTTCCAACGTGAACGTCTCCAGTGCGGGTCCGTCCGCCTCACACGCCGGACCACAGTCAACAGTGGCAAGCTATACCAATTCTGGGAACACTGGCACAGGTGCGGGTGGTGCTCAGGTGCAACTCGCAGCCGGTTTACACAATTCGAATGGTCCGACGAGCGGTCCAGGTGGATCTGGTAGTATGGGTGTTTCTGGTGCACCAGGTGGTCCAGGAACGGGAACCCCACGAAAACCGAAATCTCCCAAGTCTCCCGGTCGTGCCGGCCCTAATTCACAACTGGCCGGAGGTACTGGAGCAAAATCTTCACTTAAATCACCAAAGGGAAGTGGGGCGGCTCGGGCTGGTTCGATGACGAAGGTTTTATCTTCGCCGCCCCCTCAGCAACAACTGCAGCAGCAACTTCAACCGTCGCAACCGCAGCCTCAACAATCTACCCAAGTGGTACAACAGCAACAACACCAACAACAGCATCATCATCAACAACAACAGCAACAACAAGCTTCGGTTGTTGTGGCTGGCGGTTCTACACCTGGGGCTGCGATGCCGTCTGTTTTACTAACCAGTAGCCACTTATCTCAAATGCAGTGTCGTCAACCGGGGGCCAATCCCACGATGCAAGGAACACCACAAACTGCACAATCATTACAGCGCCCTGCCCCAGTTCAGCACCTTTTGGCCACAAACAACTTGGGGCCGCATCAACAGAATGTT